TATAACAAATCTGACCCACCTTAGTTCGACACGGAAGTGTTAACTAGCAGATAAGCGTTATCGGGAAGCAATAACCTCAATCACTTGAAGTACATCTGTATACAAATAGTAGCACATACAGTACAGACATATACGACAAGTATAATCTTTAAAATCATTTTAAAAGTAAATACAGTACATATTATTTATATGTGGAAATTACTTTGCACTATCAACACGTAGTGAACATTTCTTTCAAAATAAATAATTTATCTAAACAATTCACCTCAACTCAAAAGCATTTATTTCAATTAAACCATAATTTGGTACATTTAAAACGTCAACAAATATAAAATAAATAATAGTCTGTCAGTCTGTCCGTCAAGTAAAGCTGGATTCAGATGGAGAAGAACAAGAAATAAACTCCAACTCCAAGAACAAGAAACAAACTCCGAACAAGAAAGAAACTTTTAAAAAAGTCTGTTTTACAATGATACATATTATAATATTAATAAAAAGCAAAATATACTATGGTTCTCTGGAACAGGCACATAAGTAATATTATGATGTTGATTGATACCCTTAAAAAACTATACTCTAGATGACTAGACAAATAACATTTAAGTAAACGCTATTCGAGCAAGTGAATAAAAAAGTTAATATATGGTCTTGACATAATTTGTCGAATGTCAATGTCAAATTCCATACGTTGATTTTTAAATTCGTTTGGTGAAATGTAATTTTTGTCTAGGACCTATGTGGGACTTATTACTGTATGTTGTAGGACTTACAACTTTTGGTGGAATTGGTGATTAACTAACATAAGTCACTTTATACTATTTTCAGGTCAATCTTGTACAGTTTTAATTATTATGACTTACGGTGTTATGAACATGTTCCCATTAAAATAGTAAGTCAACGACTTAACTGTGTCCTATATTGTGTTAGTGATTGCAAGTTTATGGGGTTTTATATGGGTTAAAGTTGTAGAGCTATACAATACTTATATGGACTAAAAGTTATACGAAAATCAAAATTTAAACAATCATCAACGTAAAGTTCAAGTTGTTGGTTTCATTTAACCGCTCGTAAAAATAATTGACACGTTGCAAGTTGCTGAACTTTTAAGTTTTTAATGGAGAAAATGTCGTATATTATTTTATTACTTTACTTTTCTCTTGATTCATTAAAAACTAAATTATTATTTCCTAAAATTCACTTGGGGTCGGCCCAATATATCTTTTCCATTCTCCCTCATCAAAGATCATTAAAAAGTTGTCTCATTACAAACCATTTTTAATTTAAACCTACGAAAGGTTCAAACAATCTAAAATACAAATCCCTCATAAAAACTAAACGCAGTTCATTGGCCCATTGCATCTGATAATGGGCGCCTTACACTGCGCACGCGCATGGGCGCCGTCATGAATCACTCACTGTGCGGTGACCTTGCTGCTCTATTTAACTGTTTGTTTGTTTACATCTCGAAAACTTCCGGTATGCAGCACACTTTTACTGTCTCTGGTTTTTCTTAACTGTTATAGTTTTAAAGAGCTCTGCAGTTTGTGCGAGTAGGTAGATGGTGAGTATGTTTTTTTATGGTAGGTACGGTTATTTTATTGGCAGGAAGATTAGTTATTTATTTTTGCGATTAGTTAGCGACCTTATTTAGTGTTGTGGTGATGCAAATAAATGAAAATTCATGTGTCGTGAGAAAACAATATTTTATTAATTGTATCCATTGGTATTTGTATATGAAATCAACGACTTGACGAATCGACTATGTTTTCTGTTACTAGAGAGCTGAAGCTAGAGATTTTTGGAAACAAATTGCGTAAAATTGTGCACTATAAACTTGTCCTTTTCTCTTTAAAGTAAGACCATTAATCATCACAAAATAGGCAGAAATCACGAAAGCTTTATAAATGATTGTAGAACGCATTACTCCTTGCGCCGGCGCACCCATTGTGCGGTGTTGTAACTCCGTAACACGTGCGCCGGAGTCGACAGTCGCGATAGCTGATTGCGTGCACTTTATTATGGTCATGGTACACTCATTGTAAACTATATATGGATTGATAGATTAAAATAGAAAATTTTATAAGACAATTAGTAGCATTGACTTTAAAGTTTTATAAATGGCTTCCATATAGCAATGAACATAAAACCTTCCTTCTTCCGTTACTGAGTTCCTGAGATAAAATGATAAATATTACGATAACCTACTGGACGTATGACAATCCAAGTTGACATGGTAGGTACTATCGACAAAGTTTACTGTGGTACACTTTTTAACAAAATTCTGTGGAAAACTTGCCGAATGCATGCGAATATCGCCTAATGATATGGTCGACCGCCAACTTTTTCGATTGTATGTACTTACATAGTTACTGTCATGGCCAGCGTAAGGGACAACTGATCAATCCCCAAGCGGTAACCGGTGACCGCCCTCCACTCACTCCATTATAGACCTTATTTCTGATGTTTAGAGACTACTTTTGTATGAACAAATTTTGGGGATTTTCAGTACGATATATCAAGTGATGAGAGAGTTTCACAAAATTATAACTATAAGGGAGCTTAAGTCAGAGGCAATAAATGTTATTTTAGAAGGATATAGTAGCTAGGATAGCTATAAATCGCTCCCTATGCAGTAAGGTTGTTAAATATATTCTTCTTCGAATCATCCAGATGTAATGAATTCTTTTTTTGTTGTTCTTTAACACAAAAAAAAACTTCAAACAAAAAACAAAACTGTGATTGAGTCTCGTAAAATTGTACGCGGTGACATTTTTTGCGAAGTTCTGGAGATAAGACGCGACATAAAACAAATCATGGCTCATGCGCTATCCGCCTTACAATCTGTAACTGGCCTCTATGGACGCTGCAGACCAAATTTTTGAAATCTGACGTTCTGGATACACGAACATATCTTTAAATATTAAATTTAGGCCTTTTGGGCACAAAGTTAGACAATATTTTCAACCTGATAGTGATGAGTTTTCCTAAACACATTTGATGCAATATGCTTCACCGATTGATTTCATTCTCTATGTGAAAAAAAGACTTGCTAAGCACTGGAACAGTTATATACATATAAATGATGATAATGAATACTGAGATAGACAAAAATACTTTTTCAAAAATTTAAAAATGGAAATAAATGTTAAAACGCATTTTTCCATTATCTAAGCGAACAATGACTAAAGAACACTATGAATTATTTTAACCTTAATTTCTAAGCTAACATTTCAAATTCAGTGCGAAAGATAATAACACAATACACCCCTAGCCCTAGTTGCTACGTAGTCGGTTAAATGCGGGCGACTATCGCGGCTCGCCATCTCGGGCCGGGCAAAATGTCCGATACCACAGTACCTAAGTACCTACCCGGTTATACCCGGTTATCTGGGGGAAATCTCGTAAAATGCACACGATGGACTAGGGACCCATGTACTTGAGTTGTGCTATTTTTACCCTCCTACCATTGTAGTTGATGGGCGATAGTTTTTGATAACAATTTATGATATGGAGGTACTTAGGTAGTACTTATTGTGTAGGTATGTACCTATCCCTCTGAAGAGAATGAATGATATTTTATGTGAAATAGATTTATGGTTGGTTATGAAACCGCCGATACATTATTATTTGGATTCGTTTCTATAAAACTATACCTTGAAATGTTCTTGAACGTCAACCCATAAAGTATAAAAATGCTTTTGTAAATTTATTTTTTGTTTTCTTTCAAAAAGATACGTATCCTCTCCTCTGTACTATTAATAGGTATATTTCCGACTCCTTATCCTATCTACAGATCTACTCTTCGTCCAAAGAGGAACTTTTAAAACTTTACTCTCAAACAAACATACCGATCGTAAAATCCTCTGCAACACAATGAAAGCAATCATTCCATTACTTTAATTATTGTCTATCCGTTAGTCACCACTCCCCAGTAAGTCAACTAACTAGTTAACGATCTGTCCCAAAGACATACAATTTTGTTTTTTTACCGACGTCAAAAAAATATAGGGTCTCAGTTTGAGCTGTAGGTGTGTGTGTATGTATGTGTATGTTGTGCGCGATTGTCTCGCGATTGGCTGAACCGATTTCAATGCGGTTTTCAGTAAAATGTTTGTTAATACTTTGAAGAAGTTTTAGTATGTTAGTATCAAAAAAAAACGGGGTTAAAGTCGGTTTTTTTAACGTATTTTATAAGACAATTATTGTATGAAGATATTTTTGGAGAAAATTAATAATGCGTTTGGTAGGTAATAATTATTTTGACTGGTCTAGCAGACAAAGTCAAACTCACTATTCGAACTCCCAATTTTTGTTAGTTGAAAGCACAATAGTAAAAGGAGACCCAACTTTGATTTCTGGCGCACTTAGGTGACTCGTAAATGCCTGTTTTAAGGCACCGTACAATCGAATCAAAGACGTCCTAACCAAGTAAATTATATACCATATAAGTAGGTCTATATACGTGCTAACACAATGAAATAATAAATATCTCCCTTAGTTCGCAATGTCTTAAAAACATGTTTTCACTTTTATAATCTAGTAGTTATATTGTTAGGAAGTTGCGGTCTGCTACAGTAACTCTAGACCAGTCGCAAGGCTGCCACCAAGGTCACTGCCGGTGACCGGTTCGTAGCTGGCGCTAAGATAAAGATGCTCCCTTTGTTGAGGTGAAAATAAAAAAACTTGGGTCTTATGTCACATACAGAATCTAGTTAGTACCTAGGTAATGTGATATGTGCTAAGGATACGTGATAGTGGAATAGACTTGACTTACTTTATGCGAATATAATAACAAAGTTTTTTTTTAATTTATTTAATTGATTTTGAGTGAATATTTAAACTTTTAAAAATGTCCGACCTCTTACTGCTTAAGACCAAAAATACCTGTGATACACACGTATACCAATATTACATGATCTAGATTTTAAATTTCAAAACAAATGCTTTTAACAATATTTATCACCTTTATGAATATTCACATTACTTTTTCTTCGTTCCAGCGTGTCCGAACATTCACAACCTCTCTCGATGAGCTCGCGGGTCGCGTACAAGCTGCCGAAGCTGCACGCTCCTCATGGCGCGGGCCTGGCGACGCAAGGGATGCGCGCGCGCAGCTCGATGCGGTGTCCCGCGCACGCGCACAGCTGCCTCCACTCAGGAGACTGGCTGACGAGCTGCACGCTCAGGCTCAGCAGCTAGCACGAGACAAGATACAACTGCCTGACCATCTACTTGCAAGATTGGATGATTTGAATACCAGGTAATTTTCTCTTTGAAATTATAATTGTTCTTCTTGAGATGCAGGTCTAGTGTTGATTGCTTGAATTAGGGACATTGGGAGAGCATTGTCATTTTACATCAGTCTTTACATTAAATAAGGAGGAATAAATAAAAATAAGTAACATGAGACTATCCTTAACTCATTATTACCAATCGCATGTATCAGTATTTATCGAACTAATACAAATGTTCGTATTCGTTCATAGTTTCAAAATGTTATCTCCAGTCAATTGCATTGATCTCGATAATGTCTCAATAGATATAAATCAGTACGTGATCAGAACCCATTGAACAGTTAGATAAGTCACGAACAGACAGCTACAGCGTAAATATTAATATGTGCGGAATGTTAAACATTAGCACGCTCGTTGAAAGTCAATCTGTAGTTTATATTCATTATAAGGGACTTGCCTGTCAACCTACATTCTTATACTTAGGTACTAATGATATGGTACTTACAAAGTGTATTGGTCATATAATGGACATGTAATTGCCGTTTTACGACCATATTACACGACAGGGAGTTTAGAATCGTCAAATTTTCAACGATACAATATGCTATCATAAATGAATATAATATAATATATAGAGGTAATATACATAGAAGGTAGTATGATTTCGCATTACCTTCTCTATAGGCACCTACATAACTATGTAAAAACTTAACTTGCTGAACTTTAGAACTTAAAGATATTATAATAAATATTCTATTCTATCCCAATATACCAAAACAGAATCTTAATCATCTCTTATGACATTCCAGGGTGTCTGGCCTGGTCTCCGGCGGTGAGGAACGCGTGCGTCAACTAGCCGGTGTTGCAAGAGATGGCGGGGCGGGCGCAGCGCAAGGCTTCCTCGCTGGCTCCGTGGAGATACCTTGGGAGAGAGCTGTTACTCCTGCCAATGTGCCCTACTACATCAAGTAAGGAGTATATCATCATCATAATCATTAGAGCGATAAAGCGTCCACTGTTTTAACGTACTCTACCTCAGTAGGATAATGATTGTTAAATCGGCAGATTGGGAGCGACCTGCATTCAATTTTACACTATACGCTACCTTTATCTAGACAATTTATAATAAGGTTAAACAAGATAACCGAGTATTAGATCATGCGTTAGTCAAAGATGTCACACAATGCGTTCTTTGTTTTCGATCAAACTACTCAATAGGTTAAGTCTGGAAATGTGATCAATTGATCATACTTACATAATTACTTAGATAGTAACACTACTATACAATTAGAAAATTGATAATTTCTTATAAGTCATGTCGAGCACTTTATAATAGTAATCATATTTTCAGCCACGAACTGGAAACAACCCACTGGGACCACCCGAAGATGATCGAGCTGATGAACTCTCTAGCTGACTTGAACGAGGTCCGTTTCTCAGCGTACAGGACCGCACTCAAACTGAGGACTGTGCAGAAAGCACTCTGCAGTAAGTAGACATACATATTTTTCTTTAGAGTTTCAAAGTTGATGCACAGCTCTGCGGTATTGGTGTGGGCATCCTCTCCTTCATTCAAATCTTCATCTCTTGTATTTAAGATGTAGATACTTATGTCTACTGGATTAAAAGTAACTGAGTTACAAGTAGGTAAAGCTCCACTAGTTTCCAGTCACAGAGGGACTCTTCCTCATAAGCAGCGTGCGCGGTCGCGGTGGTGCAGCCTACTGCGGTTACAATTGTTTGCACTAAGTCATTTGTTTCATCTATCAACAGATTTTTTCAGAATACTTTTAAAATAAATTGTTGCAAGGCAAATCTTAATAACTACAGGAATCCATCATTAATTTCCAATTTCTTAATTTCTAGTGCACATGCTACAACTACCAGCCGCGTTGGAAGCGTTTGACTCTCACGGACTCCGCGCTCAGAATGACCGTCTGATTGACATACCTGACATGATCACTGTTCTCACTTCTTTGTATGAGGTAAGGGCCAAGTTTCTACATTTGTATTATTTTACGTATTTTAGAATTCGTATTTAAAATATCTCTTTGTTCTGCCATCAGGTGATTGCAGCAGAAAATCCAAGTCTAGTGAACGTTCCGCTTTGCTTGGACCTGTCGATCAACTGGTTGCTCAACGTGTATGACAGCCAGCGGACCGGACAGATCCGGGTGCTCAGCTTCAAGGTCGGGCTTGTACTGCTATGCAAGGGGCATTTGGAAGAGAAGTACAGGTAAGACAAGAAACATTGAGCTCTATTTTAAATGATATAAGGTCCATGTTTGAGAATGTGTCTACTTAGGAATGAAACTGGTAACTAATAGATGCTTTTAATTTCAGATATCTGTTCCGGCTGATCGCAGACCCATCATGCAGGGCCGACCAAAGAAAACTTGGATTATTGCTGCATGATTGTATTCAGGTAAGTTCAGCTCAATGCCTTGAAAATAGGATGTCATAACTTTAAAAGACAAGGTAGCTAATAATGATGTTTGAACTTCAGGTACCAAGACAACTTGGTGAAGTGGCTGCCTTTGGAGGCTCCAACATAGAACCGTCAGTGAGGAGCTGCTTCGAACAGGCATCTGCTGCCACCAAGGAGGGCAATAAGGGAGGCACTCTTGATAGGAAAGTTGGTAAGTAACTGATCAAGCAGAGCAAAAAATCCCTTTATGGTACGAATATTTTTATTAACCAGAAAATGCAGTTAATCTTCCAGAAAAAGACAAGGAGAAGGAGGAACCGGCTAAAGACAAGACCTTGGAGCGTGATGCTGACGGTCAGCTTCAGTTCATAGAAGCGTTCCACTTCCTGCAGTGGCTGCAGAAGGAGCCGCAGTCGATGGTGTGGCTGCCAGTCCTGCACCGCCTCGCTGCGGCTGAGACTGCCAAGCATCAGGCCAAGTGCAACATCTGCAAGGAGTACCCGATTATTGGGTTCAGGTAGGAACTTTATATAGACCCTGAGATTATTATTATTATGACCCTATATGATTAAGCGAATAGCCTAATAATGGTGACTGACGTCAATCAGTTGTCAGCTGGATACCGACGTATCGACCTATTAAAATCCAGAGGGAGCCAGAATTGTAATGGTTAGGTTAAGAGAATCTGAACGTTCATAAGTCACAACATGTTTGTTTTGTCTTTCAGATACCGTTGCCTGAAATGTTTCAATTTCGACATGTGCCAGAAGTGCTTCTTCAACGGCCGCAAAGCTAAGAACCACAAGCTGACGCATCCTATGCAGGAGTATTGTACTGCTGTAAGTGAACTATTTATCAAAAATTAGAAATTGAGATCACAGGAAGTCAGCAGTTTCTTATGACTGCTGCACAATGACTCTCGGTTCCAAAAAAAACGTACATGTTTATCGATACTTTTCAGTTTTCTTAATAATTGCTATTACCTTATAGTTATCACGTGTATAAGGATTTGATGCATTTTTATGTCAGAAATTCAATATTATTTCTTACATTTATCTTTACTTACTTCTTCTACAGACTACTTCGGGCGAAGATGTGCGTGACTTCACTCGTGCGTTGCGCAATAAGTTCAAGTCAGCTCGCTACTTCAAGAAGCATCCTCGAGTTGGATACCTTCCCGTGCAAACTGTGCTTGAAGGTACAATACCACATTATATTTAAGAGATAAAAGTGTAGTTCAAAGCTAAAGAAGACACCACTTAATGGCGCGTTAATAAAAAGGCACCTTATGTCCACCCATGAAGAGAAAAAAAAACAGCAAATAATGATAACTAAGAATCTTTTTAATTCTTTGATATGCCGCAGGGAACGATTTTAGGTTCTTTTTGAAGACAGAGACGATAAGAAGATTTCAACTGTTCAGAAAAAGACCCACTCATTAAATACAGTAAAATATGTTAAACATGTGAATGTTGTAATTTCTAGGTGATGCTCTGGAGTCTCCTGCTCCATCTCCACAACACGGCAGTGCTTCAGGCTCAGCCCTTGGAGGTGATGACATGCATTCACGACTGGAACTGTACGCCACCAGGCTGGCTCAAGTGGAACTCGGAGCCAAATCTGGAGACACTCCTGACAGGTTTGTGAAGTTTTCAATATAGCTCTAAAAGTCCACATGACTTTTTGCTTAAATTCTCTTCATTCATCTAAAAACTTCTTTTCCAACAGTGACGAAGAACATCAGCTGATTGCCCAATACTGCGCTTCTCTCAATGGCGGCGGAGAAACTGATGATGCACCACGCTCGCCAGTGCAGGTCGTCTCCATCATACATCGTGAGCAGAGACACGAACTTGAGGCTATGATCCGGTAAGATTTTGTCGATATTATAAAGATAAAATAAAAGACAGGTCAAATCAAAAAAGAGTAATAATTTGTAAAACACGGTAGTTAACCGAACATATTTCAAATTACAGAGAGCTGGAAGAAGAGAATGCCAGTCTCCAAGCTGAATACGAGCGTCTGAAGGCTAAGCAGACACCTGGATCTACTCCTGAGGAGCAGCACGGAGTCAATGATAACAGGAACGCTCCTGTCGACCAGGTATACCTACTACAATCTTTTTTGTATAACAACTATCTTGTACAAACTATGTTGTACAAATGTTAGATAAAATGTTTTATCTTAAAGGTATTCCCGAAATTGGTGTTGAAGTTGCAAATAGCGAGACCGATATCAGATGTGACTCTTCATTTCTAAACGCCAACAATTTCTTCAGTAACGTTGTTGTTTTTGACCTCATATTTATGTAGCAGTTGAAGTAGAAAGTAAGATAGACGAAATCACCCTACCTAACTTTCACAAAGTTGATAGCATTAAAAATATCTCCTATAGTAGCGGCGTGTACAAGTACAAAATACAAAATAAAGTTTACATAATATTAGATGCAAAGCAATCTTAACATTTTATTAGGCAAGAAGTCACACAATACTTAAACAAATGAACTTGGGTTACAGGACATGATGGCTGAAGCCCGTCTACTAAGGCAGCACAAGGGTCGCTTGGAGGCACGCATGCAGATCCTCGAGGAACATAACCGACAGCTCGAGGCTCAGCTGCAGAGACTGAGGAGACTGCTCGATGAGGTAACTATCAGATCAAATAGCAACTATTATTGTTTTGCAATAAAATCGAAAATCTGTTGAAGATCGTGAATTATTTTTTGAAATTCAGCTTAATTGACTAATTTTTATTATCATCAATTCCAGCCTGCCCAAGGTTCTCCACCAGCTCGCACGGGCACGCTGCAGACTCGTTCTGTGACTGCTTCGCAACTTGCTACCGATTCTCCGGCAAAAATGCATAATGGACTTTACCACGAGTCGCAAACTAGTGAGTATTTATTTATTTTTTAATCTAACCAAGCCCTTTGATAGAGATGATATACTAAGTATAAATATTATGGGTACATACTAAAAGTACGACAGTCCCACGAACATAAAAGAATTGCCAGTCCCGCATTTTGTTTTGTAATAATATATTTTCCATCTGAACCTAACCTTGTCAAAAATTACCCAAGTGTTCCCAAGGTTCTCTTTTGGGTCCAATATTCTGAAGAGTCCAGTAGTGTTATAAAAGACGTTTCCTAACGTGGTGTCCGCATCAGACGGAGGTACTCGCTGGGCGGGCGCGGAGCGGGAGACGTTGGAGCGTCCTCCGCCGCCGCCGCACCAGGTGCACTCGCTCATGCACTGCGCAGGTCAGGCTCGACTGGACTTCTCAAACTTCTATAGCACGAGTGACAGGCGATTTGAGTTTATAGCAGCTAATGTTTTATTGTACTGCTGGTTTCACGCATAGATATATTTCGCAATAATGAAAACGATGTCTACCTCGCACTGAAGATGCTTTGCTAATTTCTAGAGCTGTTTTTTTCGCAGATGTATTTATAGATGTGTTCGGTTGCAATGTTTCTTTTGGTTGTACACGATGATGCTGTTTTGTTTTTCTTTTGTCGTCGTTTATAGGTTGTTGCATGGTTTTTGAGTGATGCATGTTACTGTCGTCTATTCGCCGAATTTTAATGAACTTTAACACTCACGGTGTTTTTTTCTGTTTTCTGCAAACCTAACAGGACGTATACCTTGAGGTAATAATTATTTTGATGTTGTCACGTGGTCGATTGTAATTAAAAGCAGACTATGTTATGATGTACAACTTGGCTTGATACTAAATGACTTTCTCATTTACAGATGACCTTGGCCGCGCTGTCGAAGAACTAGTGTCAGTAATGACGGAGGACACACAAAACCAAACATCGAACTCTCCTCCACAATACACCAACGGCAAGCCACCAACCAAAGAGTAGCCCTGACATCGAGCCGTCGTACATCGTATGGTGCTGCAGCGGCTGGAGCCATCCGGCCCCCGCCACCTCTACTTAATGATACCTTCGAACTAGCAACACTGTCGAGTCAAACCAAAGAGAACGCTTTAACTCTTTCCTTACTAAAACATCGAAGTATTATAAATTGTACAGTATTTCTACTAATTTTCGACTCATCACTAACAATACCTGCACATGCTGTTTCTACCTTATTATACAAAAGCTCTAACATTCCACACATTCTCTAATCGAGTGGGCTTCGCGGGGAAACATACTAAAAGTAGAAGCCTGTAAGGAACCGGCTATATAGAACTAACAACGATGATCATTATCTAGACTTAGTTCCCTGTAGCGTCGTTTTCGAGACGAGTCGTATGCAACGCTTATTGTATTAATAAGGGCATGCCATTGTTGCAGTACGTATCGTGATTGAGTCGCTTTTTTATACCTTTTCTTACTATAGAGAACCTAGTAGGCAACCCTGACAGAATTTCTACTATTTTAGTTTTTCCCCTCCGTAACCCCGACAGTGTTGCTAGAACGAGACGATCCAACGAAAAAGACACTGTAACGAGCATTTATACATATATATATTTAACAAAAAAATGTACCAAATTTGTGGATACTTAATATTTTAATCGTTTAAGTACATATCTTGTTAGTACAATCTCCATTATATATCATATCACTTCTTGTATACTTCCATATCATTTTGCTATGTAAAATACAGGCATATGTATTATATCACGTGAAACGAAACTGAGCCAACTCGGCCACGACGGTCGGAGGTCTGTGTCATTTACAAGACAGTTCGATTGGTTTGACCACATTTTTACCATATCGACGAGAATTACATTGTACCCAAACCATATCCATGTTTTTCTATAATTATACAAACAACAAACAATATTTAAGAATGCTACCGTTTAGTAGTAATTTTGGAGTGTGGTCACACTAAACGTATTAAGCTGAAAGCTTTAATAGGATCACAATTAGCTTTAAAACCGCAACTGTGACATATTTTGATAAATAACGCAACTCAATGTATGCAACCTACAAGTTTATACCGCGCAACCACTGAAAGGGCCTAAGTTTTAGTGGAAATGTATTGTTATATAGAATGACCTCTCCGATTTTTCAAAAACATGTATGCCACATGTCTAGTGTGGCCGTAGATAAAATGGATTCGTTAACGATTTTGCGAGTAGTATTTAGATGTAGCCAAAATGATATCGAGCATGTTATCTATATGCATGTTTGTGTAAGTTAAACATTTATCGAGTTATCAAAAATGTATCGTTAGATGATGAAAAATAATAATCGAAGTGCTTCTATGCAGAGTAGTGGCAGTTTCCTTTCCTTCACTGTTAGGTCTAGACCAGCCGCGATTATTTTATCGATAGATTGAAGCGCGCGTAACATAAAATAAACCACTCTAAAATTGTGCGATTAATTTATCGATAGTTAATAATCACGGCACGCACTAGACAGTACTGTCGGACTGTAGGAACTCTTCTTAGGAACTATAAAACATGTATCCAAAACTTTTTCACTATTACAAAAGGCAACATGACACATTTTTCGATTAGACTAATATGGCACTCGACGATTTTTATGTCGCGTGCCGATGTATCTCGACATGTACCGTGTGTCTACTAGTAAGATGCTGCCTACCTTTTTTAGATAAGGATATATTGGAGAGACTTTTATACGATCGTTAAATAATCCTGTTGAAGCTAACTTTAAATTAAGTACTTCGGATCTAACCATATCAAGGTTTATTTTGTTTTTTCCGTCGCAACGGTGCGCAGGAGTTTTGAATTACCAGCATATTTTAACGCTGGCAACATTCCAAAATTCCGGTGCACCCGCGACTGTTACTTAAATTCTTATTAATTTCGCTAATATAGTATATAAGAAAAAAAGCACAATCTTTATTATAATTTTAACGAAAATAGAAAATAAAAATTTACACTAATATATTGTTAATAATTTTATTTTTTGTTTATTACGTAGTACGATAGTTTTCTGTTTACTATTACGAAATTTAATACTTATTTTAATATTGGCAATTTACGACATGTACTACTTCCGCATTTATTTGTATATTTTACTGTGTTTATGATGTTTTTAGAAGTTAAACACAATAAACATTCAACATAGTACACGATGGTTTCATTTTTCTCTTTTGCACAAACCCAACCTCAGGCAATTTACCCAGGGCCCGATCTAGGGGGGACAAGCCAGGCAAATGGCAGGAGCGGTAAAGTAGAAGGTGCAGTAATTACTTCTATAATTTTTTTGATTCGAATGATTCCTAGGAGTTTTTAAAATTGGCAATTTTGTAGATTTGATATGCTCTTTCCTGTGCATTTTACAAAAAAATATCGTTGACTCCAAAAAGTGCCCAAAATTTTCTACAATTTATGTCTAGACAGCTATTTTGTATAATAAGTAGTACACTGCAAAGTATACCTACATGTCGATGAGCATTTAGGGGGAAAATAAAATTCCATAGCACGTACCTAATGGCGCTTTTACGCGCGACGTTTTCGCCACAAAGTCCTGGGCGAGGGCCCCTTAATGATAGAACTATATATTACATAACTGAAATTTCACATTCTATTTTAGTAGATAACAAAAATAATTTGTGGTTACACCATCTGTGGAATAACGCATGGATTATGGCGGAAAATATTATTTTGCCCGGAGCGGCAAAATAGCTGGATCGGGCCCTGGATTTACCGAAAAGATGTTATTTATAACCGTAGAGACGTTAAAACACGTTAATTTAACGATTGCAACAGAATATATGATTTTTATTCCTGGGTGCTTTTTTTTAAGGGGGGAAAATCATCGAATTACTGCTCCCGCCTGGGTGAGGCGGGAGGGAGTGTCAGACTCTTACTGACTAAAAACCACCCCGTTCCTTCTCCTGCACGTCGAGCCGGAGCCCCGGTAACCCGTTAGGTTCACCGCGACATTCCTGGGTACTAGGACTTCATAACTCAGATCAAAAAGTGGGTAAAAAAATTGAATGCATGAAATATTTTTCATCGTATTGGCTCCGAATGACATTTTGTAATGTGCGTGGTACAAATATTCTTTATTAACCCTATCTCGATGCAAACTGATTATTAAATGAAGAATTAAGTTTGTTTTGCTTAAAGCTTTTTTAAGTACTTAAATAAATAATTTTAATAAATTTGAAACTTTGATTCACACTACCATAGCGGGTGGAGGGTAGAAGACTGAAGAAAACACAAAGCTGCCCGTATAAACCTTTATTTAGTTAACAGAAGCTTAATAAAAGACTTAAAACAACTTATTACTAGTCATAATAATATGGAATCTGCAACATATACACCAGACAAACATATTTTATTGTCATCAATTAAAAAATTGGTATACATAGTGAATTTACCTTATTTAAGGAATAACATTAACACAAATTATAATCAATATTTTAGCATCGGGATGCAATGTAATTTATGCAATACAATTTGCAATTTAACAATTTGAGAAATGATTTTAATACCACTCTCACACAGAAGTGTTGCCATTGAACTTGATAACAATAAATCCTGGTAACATTCCAACATTTAACGGAATATTGCTTTATATGTGATGGGTCGACATCTGGCCACTATCTCACCTGGTGGTAAGCGATGATGCAGCCTACAATGAAGTATGTCTGCACATTATAGCAAAATAGGTTCTCATATTCGCTAAATACCTACATAAAAATACACTATTTTTCTGAGCGCAATTCCATATTAATACTATACAATATATATTCCATTTTGCTATACTATAATTTCTTCAAAGCAAAGGCACATTTCTTCAACAAATTCACATATTTATAAACATTTTTATCTTCAGTCACGAATAGGAACAACTATATTATAGTACTTCATTTTTATATTTCACGCATAAACTTTATATGCAAACTTCATAACATATTTCTACTCAAAGAGTATTATTATTTGTTATACCATATCAGTATCAGGCTCCGCTATCAAGGTATAATTAAATATTTTAACATATAATATCTCGGTGCGCTAGACTTTCAATGAAAGATAAGTATTTTTTCTATGTTATCTGATAGCTACATTGTTTAGAATTGAATAAGATTATCAATTTTTTTTCTCAAGGACATTATTGTGCAAAAGAAAATTAAAATACAATGAAATTGCAATAACTTTCTGACTGTCATAGTTGGGCATAGTTCTTAATTGTTGACATATGTCGATAAGGTCTGGTAGAAACATATTAATCTATCGTCTATCCCCAACCATGGCAAACAAAACATTAGTATTATTTAAGTTGTGAATATTTAGTAATGCATAACTCCTGAGGACCTTTCCTCTTCCGTAATTAACTGTTACAGACTTACAGACGCACAAACTATATCTTATAACACTTGGTTAGTTTTCACAGGTGGTAATCAGGTCATAAAGAAATCTAGAATTAGTAGAAAATAAACGTAAAAAGAATTAATTATTCATTGTTCTTAAAAACATTAATGTTTTAAGTTATTTGGACAAACATTTTGGTCACAATGTAATACCAAATATAATCATTATTAGTCTTTTATATAGAAAACAATGGTTCTCATATAATTGCATAAAGCCTACCTACATTAATTTGTTTAAATATCATAACACATTGTAATAAGTTTCATTATAGCATATTACAGATTTGGAGATAGAACATAAAGGTTTCTTGTTATGAACCTTTAACTTTTTTTTGTATAGATGAGGTTTTAAAGAGTTTGAAAAGAAGGATAAATATAGTGCTGATTTCACCACATCCATATAAGTACACTAACTTGGTTGGTGTTTGACTGTACCTGATAAACTTATGTGACAGATAGTTTGTATAAATTACGTTCTTAATTCAAATTATTCGGTGGTCCATGTCGGTGGCGAATAAATTATTTTTCTTTCTTCTTTCTTTCTTTCTTTCTTCTTTCAAATTTATCTGGTAGATAGCGGCTATCCGATACTGTGAAACAGGCCCTAACACATTACTGAGTTTTTTTTAATCTCAGTAATAGCACGGAGATGGAAATGTGTGCCTAGTAAAAAGTGGGTGTAACATCATAAAGTGGCATTAAGTTCCATAATGTTCAGCTCTGCCTACTCCTTTGGAGTTAAAGGTGTGATGTTATGTTATATTAACAAGTTTCATTTTCAGATACACCACTACAGCTAAGTTATTATGTGAAAGCTCTTTTGAAACTCTTATTTGTAGCAGGTGGTAATTATTATAACTTTCATTAAGCAGAATGTGACATAACCATGAAAAAGATGTTAATATATGTAGGAAACATTACTTTACTTTTGTTGCACAGAACACAGCTCTGTCGTCTTTTTGCCGGAGGAGGAGATACTATGTTCGGCTGATTGTTTTTTTTTTTGTTCGCACATTACTCCGTCATTTGTGAATCAATTACCAAAATTATTATTTTGTTTGAAAGGGTACACTCCCGAGATGGTCCCATTTCCATGAACTCAGGATCTGATGATGGCATCCTAGGGAAACAAAGGGGAACTTTCGAAAATTCTATAATGTTTTTCAATTATGATTTTTGATAAGGGTCTGGAATCGACCTGATGATGGAACCGACATACAGTCAAAAGAACTCCTCAGCGGTTAATATTAAATACCTTGTGTTTGGGCTTAATCAATTTGTATTAATGAGGACTTTACGCCTCATATCATATTGATATAACTTAATGGCCACAAAATTGTAAATTAGGTACTATTAAGGTTTTAGTGAATAAATTTTGTATAGAACTTATGGCGCCAACTTCTAACCTCAGTGGGTGGGTAACCTATCAGTACTTGATAGTTATTTTTTTTTAGTTTTAGTTTGTGTTTGTTAATAGTTTTTGGTTTTTTGAAGTCGGTTTTTTAAATGCAGTTTTTATAACTTTTTCCATATGGTTACGGATATACAAAAGTTATAAAGTTCAAGCTATTTTAATAAATGCATACTATCACAGGCATCGTACAAAATGATTTCATATCTTAGAAAACCTTTATATTCTATCACTAAACCACACATTCAAAATTAATTTTACCTAAATACACCAACCTCATACTTTGACGCTGGAGTTTGTATTACTATCTATTCCATTGACTGCTGGCTGGACATCTGTCCGAGGTCGTCGGAACAGCAGGACATGAGGCTCGGGGTTGTGGACCATGAAGTGTAGCCAGCCAGGACTCTGTTGCACTCCCAGGTTGCGCCATTCTGTCTCCGTCATGAGATGGGACTTGGGTACCAGGCGGGCTATATCCGGAGGCAGGATGACATGCCTGAAATTAACAAAGACTAGTATTAGATTGATATTTCTTTAGAATGTGTTTTGTTGTGTAGATTAACATGCACAAGACTTAAATCTTTCTTTAAGTACCAACACTCCATTTTGTACAATGACATCATTGATTGTATTACTAATTTATATTTGAAATAAGTGATAGTGTACCTATCTACAAATTTGTTTATAAAAAATAATGTGATGATGATGCTCAATGATGAATATCTTAGAACTTGTGTAAATAAACATTGAAAGGTTGGAAATTTAACATGAAAACTGCAACCATATTGTGCAACGTAACACTTCCTAGGATGACGTAAACCATCATGAGCGAGAACAAAAATGTTCATTGATTATAGCTAAGGGTTTATTTACGCCATAAATTCAATAAAAATAAGAAATAATCGCATCAAACTTACCTATATTCATAGACGTCATCAGTGTATCTTTGCGAGTACTGAATTTGATCCACAGGCATGTTGCACTTAATCAATTATCACCTCTGTCTGTTCAATGAAATCACGTGCAAAAACAAATTCACTAAAACCGAAAAGAACACTGATAATTTCGAATATTCGGAATATTCCAGCAAGGCACCACCGATTTTGTAACGCAGAAAAATTAAATTTATTGACAATTGACAATGACGTTACGACTTGACATTTGGTGTCCGATGCATTCAGAACAATGGGATGGTCCAACGTCAACACGTGGTATTTTAGTTCTGTTTTTGTGATTTAACTTATTTAGACTTATGGCTACTTCGCGAAATCTTACACGCAATAAATTGTAATGCTTATTCTTTGGTTTATTCGTGTTTACTACAGTCAGCCAGAGTAATTTTTAACATGACGGTTTCTTTTATTTATGGAGATATTAAATAATAAACGATTTGAACGTGGTTTCCCGCCCGAACTATACAACGTTCCGATTTTCTCAAAAATCTTTTCACGTTGATCTAGATAATAAAAAGAAATATTGTAGCAGGTAATAATAATATCACTATACCTATTCGTTTTGAATGACTATTAGATTATCATAAGAGGTGAAGTTAAATTACACAAAGGTTTTTACAAAAATGCCTGTTGCCGGTAATCTAAATCTGGTAATATTTTTTTGGAACTTGTTTACTTTGAATGTAATGTTGGGATGTAAGTAGTTCGTACACATGTATAGTAGGAACTGACACATTTCTATACCTAAATAATTGGTTCGGGAACAATCTTGCGCAAGAGGGAAGGGCAGATGATAGACAGCTGATTGCATGGTTAACTACCTATTGAAACAACCGGTGATATTATCCAATCACCGCGACCCCAGCCGCTGTAACAATTCAATAATGCGCCCCACACTTTTAGGATAGCCATCAGTTTTTATTATTATAGGTACTGTAAAATAGGTGTCCCATCACTAACATTTTTGTAGGCAGTAAGTTGCATTGGTGCATGGTATCTTTTGAATGTCGTAATTAGTTATAAATGGAGGAGGAGGAACGAGGAAGTTATGAAAATATCACCACTTTTGTGTACCTTCGAACATTTGGTATCAATTTTCCAAATTAATTAATATTGGAACAGGCAAATTATACGGACAGACAAATTATTATTTATTTATTTTAAATTCTTTATAATTTAAAACTCTTTACACAGGATATATTATTATATACACTGATAAGATGGTGTCTACATCAACATCTAGTACTTGGAAAAATCCCAAATTATTCTACAATGATGGTTACCCTAGAGCCACTACTAGGGAGTTATGGAAATAGTGCTGCAGTCGAAGCTAGTCCTCAATTCAGTCAGGAGGTCCAGATACAGTGACTTATCGGTGCCATGTCGGAGATCACACTCGATTTCCTGCAGGGTTTGCTCAAAGATGAATACCCTGATGTCAGCATTCAGCAGTTTGAGGTATGTCTGGTGCAGATCAAGCAGGAAATTGGTGGTGCAATGTTGGATTTTCTATACCACAACCTGTTTACATAATAACTTATTGTTGATGTCCTCAATGATTTTGTTCTTAGGGCGCTCCAGGTTCCAAACGAGGTGATAACTACACCTCAATGGTTTACCGAATCGCCTTGAGTGGCATCCGAAGACACGTTGAACCTGATGGCTCCAGCGAAAGTGATGAACCTTGGGAAAGTTCTATCATCTACAAATGTCTCCCAGAGAGCATCTTGCGAAGAGAAGCTTTCAAAAGCGATGAGCTGTTCTGCAATGAAGTCGCATTTTACACCAAAATTTGGCCTGCTTTAGTCGACTTTCAGAAACAGTGGAATGTTCCCAACCCATTCAAGGCGATCCCGAAATGTTACTTGGCCCAAAATGATTGTGTTGTGCTGAAGGACCTGAAGAGGGAAGGGTATGTGATGCCGGATAGGCACCAAGGTCTCACTATAGAGCAATGCTACTTCGTGTTGAAGCATTTGTCGCAATTCCATGCGTTGTCGCTAGCTATGAAGTGCCACAACCCTGAAGCTTTCTACGAGTTGTTGAATATTAAGGATGGCATTACTGAAGGTGATTTTACAGTATCTTCCATCCCTTTGCACGTTGTACCTTTAAAGTCCATTTATTTTAAAACAAGCATATCTGCTTTGGTGTTTAATAAAAAAATATTGTTTTCCAGTATTCTACGTCGAAGAAAACGTGGATTACTACAGAAATTATTACATGGAAGCTACAAGGAATGCCATAGCCATGGTAGAGCAGGAGTTATCTGATGCGGAAGACAGAGACCACTATTTGGAAAAGTTTAAAAGTTTCTGCAGTGAGGAAACCTTCTTTCATACGATGGTGGAGCTGGTTACTCCTAAAGAACCCTTAGCTGTGATTGGACATGGAGACTGTTGGACCAATAACTTCTTGTTTAAATACGTAGACGGTGATATAGCTGATGTAAGTCTATTTGCTAACCTAGATAAACTTTAATTCGCTAGACAAATTTATTTTCTTCTATAACAAAAATTCTTTCCAGATGTATATCGTGGACTTCCAGCTGGTCCGCTACGCGTCTCCGGCTCTCGACCTGGTGTACATTATGTACTTGTGTTTGGATCGCCAGCAGCGAGCTGAACACCTTTCCTCACTCCTGGAGTACTACACTGATGAACTGCATCGACGGCTAGTGATGATGAGCGATGAGGATTCTGTATTTAATACCAGCTTGAATAGGGATGCTTTGTTTGAATTGTGAGTAATTGTTGACCAAGTAGAAGTGGACATTAAAATTTTGGAGTACCACTAAAAAATAATTTCGTTGGGCTAAAATTGGTTGGAATTTGTCCTAGATTACAAGAGGAATTCAAACGAGCTGGCCGGTTTGGTCTCGGCATTGCAGTGGACATGTATCCCATCATGACATGCGATAGTGATGAGGCGCCTAACTTGTATCAACATGAGGTAACTAATAGCTGTATGAACACATCAGTGTTCATAACCCTTTTTTTAGGGGGAAAATTCGTCCAATGATTTCTCCCGGTCGGGTCAGGTAGTCGAGTGGGTCTGGGTAGTATAATGAATCCATGAATGCAATCTTCGGTTCAGTCAGTGCAGTAGATTGTGAAATGTAACACCCACGGTTGATAGTTCAGTTTTACGATACCCTACCTATTTAGAATTTTTGGATGAAAAACGAAAATCTGAAAAATATTCCGCCCCACCTGGGAATTGACACCGAATTTTGTTCTAACATAATTTTATTGTTGATTTTCATCTCAATTTTTCTGCAAGCATTTGAATCCGCAACTACGTTATACACCTGGGGGCTTACTTTTGAATCCAATTACGATCAATCGATATTGGTATTATTAAATTTCGTACTCTTGAGTTGCAACACTAGCGCCCATCGCATCCATATTTATATTGCGCTTTATATTGCGTACTCTGAATGCTATTTTAACAGCTACGATAGGGGTTGTATAGTCATATAGTGTTGACATTGAATAATTATTGAGATTTTATTGGATTGAAATTGTATTGACATTGAGATTGGTTTTAAAAGTAAGCACCCTGAACTAGGTTTGAATGAAGACTAGTTTTTTTCATCACAAGATGGAGCTAGTGTAAACCTCTCGTCGTTTCGTCCAATAGGTAGCCTATTATTATTATTGAGTCTATAAATGTTGTAAATATTTATGTAGTTAAATATATTTAATAATAGGTATTTAAATTGAATTAAATAGGGAGTTAGAAATGGACGTTCAATTTCTAATAGGTACAGTGATTGGAAAAAAACCTAAACCTACTTTTGTTTACTGTGGTAAGCAAAAAAACAGTGGCGCACGTTAAAATAATTGTATTCCTTTTCCTCAATCAGGACAGCGAGTCATCATCAACATCACGTGTCCAGCCAGTACACACCAACAGTGCAGCTTGCAGCCGAAAGATGACAGAGCTGGTCATCGAGCTGGTGGACGCTGGGATCCTTTGATCATCAGGAGTACCAGGATATAAGCATGATACCAGAAATAAAATATAATCAAAGGGTTTTTAAAAGACTGTAGGAATAGTTGTATCTTTTTTTATATATGGAGGGTTAAGTTGTATCGTTGATTGGTGTTCAACAAAAATTATGGAAAGGAGTTCCCTTTGTTCTGTATTTTATTTATTTGTTTTCTTCTAGATTTAGACTACACGTGGTGATTTTTTTTAATTCTTTGCATCAAGCTTCCTTGTGTGTACTGTAAGGAGTTGAATTCTTTGCCAGTGTCTGTATTTCCTGAATGGTATAACCTGAATGTCTTCAAGGCTCGAGTGAATAGGTTGCTTATGGGCAGACGTGAACCATCGTAGACCGCATCATCGCTTACCACCAGGCGAGATAGTGCTCAAACATTGGCCCATCAAATACACATAAAAAAAAACTATTTTCGGCTTCCTACATGATTTTATGGTAAGGGTAAAATAAAATAACAATGTTTATGTCGTAGGTATGTCAATTTATTGTATATCGTTTAGTTTAAACACGTACAATAAAATATTGTGTTAAAGCCTTACAATTAATTTACATTATATTTTGTGACGATGTGTCCCTTTGATCAAGATCTATTGGGTATAATTATAAAAATCAGATCATTTTGCCGTCTGCGCATCTTTGAATTAAAAAATGTCTATTATACTTATTTATCTAATTCTATATAATATTTATATTAGTATACTATATAAAATAATTCAATAAAAAAATGACTTCGATAAATGGGATGCTTCCGGCGCAATTTGTGGAAATTTTCAATCTTTTTTTTTAAATTTCTAAGTTACATACACACTGGGAGTTTTATTAAGATTATTTTTCCAAAAACTGTTTAGTATTCTCTTATATGATTGGAAGCATGCTGCCGGACAGTGCTATCTCTTTTTCACTTACTGCGACTGAGTAAGTTGGCTAAGGATAGCTATAACTTTAATAAAAAAATAAAATATACGCTTTACAATCTTTCAAGAAAGAATACCAAACAGTTTTAAGAAAATTACAATTTCATTTATTATTGCGAATTTCCAAAAATTGTTATCACGGTGATGCCCTTACATTAATTTAATAAAAATGGTAATTTAAATAAAATACCCGTACTATCTCGTGGCACATTCATTGAATTTTTATTTTTTATTAAATTAAATAAAACATATTATTATTACAATAATTACGTACGGGTTCGTTACGTATATGACAACGTTCTTTGTAAACAGATCTAGTAATAAAACTTATAATAAAATAAAATAATCAGTCATTGAAAACTTCAGATTTTGTAACAGTTGAGATTCTAGCGCCTAATACAATCTGAAGTTTCCAATAAATACCTGTTTATTTAAAGATTAATATTTTTTTTTTGTATTTTATTTAAATTAATACTAACAAGTCTGGTCAGAAGACAAGGCACTCGATCCTCCCTAACATTTACATTACCGCGCCGAACTAAAAATTTAAAAATATGTTAAAGAGTCATACATGCAATTAAATTACAACCTTTTTTTTAGTTTTTCACCAGTTAACACATACCTCGCGGTAATAATTTGGTCCTGACTTTTTGTCTTTCAATACTTTAATTCGAATTAGCACCAGAACACAAAGATGACCTGTCAGAGCCATTACTGACAGATCCTCTAAGGTTAGCAACAGCAGCACTTATTTGACGCTTGCCCGCAAGACTTGTTGTGTGGTCAAGCCTACCTTACCTTTGGAAGCCTGCGTGGGCCTCATGAAGCCCGAGGTCGGCCTGCTGTTCACATTCTTCAGAGGAGGCCTAGCAGCACCTACTGAACTGCCACTGGAAGAAGACCTGGATGCTGGCATCCTTGATACAGGCTTCGGTACAGGCTTAGGTGTGGGCTTAACAGGTGCTGGCGGCACTCTCTTTACCGTCGATACTGATGTAGAACTATTTAGAGAACTCCTAGAGCTTCTTAACGACGCTCTAGACGTAGACCTTTCCACTCTTAAAGAACTAGCCCGTTTTGGAATCACACGTTTGGGGTCTATGGGTGTCCGAGGGGGCGTCCTCGTCTCTTTGGTAGCTATCTTCTTTGGTTGTCCCAATTTGGGAACTGGGGACTTGGAGATTTTCGGCACAGGTGACTCACACTCCACATTGCAGCCCGACGAAGCACCCTGGGAGGCACTCTCTGAATTCAGGCTCTGGGTTTCTTCAAAGCCTTCATCATTTAATTCGTGCTCACTTTTGACCTTCGACATTCTAGGAGAGGTCGTCCTTTCTGGAACCTTCTCTGGAGCCTTTTCAGTTCGGGTATTGAGAGACTTTCTGTATCCGTCTCTCGACCAGACTCCAGTAGGGTTGTCAGCAGGAGACTTTAGTTCTCTGATCGCTTTTTGCACGTCCTCCTGGTTTATAGAAGTCTGCCGCCTCATCCGTAAGTATGGTTTTGTTTCTTTGGTCGTTTTATCTGTGCTTTGGCTCTTTAGTCTATCCTGCCACCGTTTCAACCTGGTTTCTTTTTCATCCTTACCAGCTTCAATTGGTTTTGCTACGTCTTGTGGGGTTTCTACTTTATATGATGCCTGAACTTCTAATTTTGAAGGTCTAATTACTTGAGTTTCTGCTATTAGTTCTGGCGCTGGTGGCTCAGGTTTCTTTTCTTCTTCGGGGGAACTATTGGAATCGGTGTTCCTCTTATACCTCCTCGTTCTCCTGGCGGCAGAAAATCTGTCAAATTGACCATCACCTAAAATTTCTTGACAGAGATCTTTCATTTCAGCAGAAGCTTTATCAGGGAGATTAGATCGGGTGGGTAAGGACGGTTGGAATTTTCTGCAAGGTTCTTTTTCTGGAGGAGGATTGAAGGATGAATTGAACTTCCTTTGTGCTGGTGGAGTTTCAATGTTATCTGAGTCAATTTCTACCCTGTCCGATTTTTCTATCCTCTCTTGTCTGACGGTGTTTGGCTCTCTGTCGCTAGTGACCTTTATATCGGGCAGTTTCTTTTGCTCTTCTAGTATTGATATTAACGGTTGCGGTGATTCTATCTGTTGTCGTGACCGTTGTCTTCTGAGCCTTCTCATTTCCTCGTTCTCTTCGGTTTTCCTCCAAGGCACTCTGTTGTCCTTTTTCTGAGGTTGTACATCTGGAAATAAAACGACCGTTGTAAAAGTTTGTCCTTTTTTTTTAAAACATTATCTACTGCCTATAAAACAGATAAGATATATAAGCTTACCTTCGACAGTCTCGAGTGCCTTAACAACATCGCTGTCGGGAAGTACGGCAGGCCTCCAGTCGGCGCGGCCCTCAGGCAAGGGCTCGAGGGTTGCGCTTCGCTCGCTCTCTGTAGAACCATTAGAAGATTAATAAACAACATAGATTATTTTTATTACTATTTAGCAACAGAAGGGATGAAAGTAGGACATTTAAAGGGAGTGTTGTTGTTGTAGAGGTACATACCGGAGTCGTTTTCCAAGGAGCGCTTGTCGTTATGGAGGCGCATGGTGCGCGTGCGCGGGCGCGCGTCCTCCTGGCTGCTCGCGCGCAGCCACGACTCGATCTTCTGCCGCCACTCCCTGCACACAGATAATAATTACAATGATTATAATAACCAACATCACTGAAGACCGAATTAATTAGCATACCTCTATAAATGCAAAGGTTAGTATAGAATTATGGTATAACGATATTAAAAGTGACTACTATGAAATGTAAGGGTAAAACAATCATAATTCATATGTAATAAAAACATACTTGGGCTTAGCGGGCGCTGTGTCAGGCGAGGCAGGTGCAGGCGAGGCAGGCGCAGGCGGGGTGGGGGTGGAGGGGGCGAGCGGCGCGCGCGGGGAGGGAGGCCGCTCGCGCGCACTCTCGGGGATCTCCAGGCGGGCGCGGGCAGCGCCGCGGCGGGACCAGGAACGATCTGAACAAGGAAATAAGATAATAAATGAAATTGGATCTCAGCGTAACTGCAACATAGTTTAGCTAGGTAATTATCTTACCGAGACTGCCCCACGCACTTCTCTCACGTAGATCATTGGCAGCTGGTGACGAATGACGGAGGAACTCCAGCAAACCTTCCTCATCATCACCAGGACTAGCCCTGCTTCTGCGACGTAAGCTACCGGTCGGAGTTACATCTGTAAAAAGAAAGAGTTATTTAGTCAATGGTAAATCTTCCAGAATCTCCCTTTTTTATAGAAATAATTAGTTTATAATGAGTTTTATTGAGGTGTACTAACCAGGCGAAGGAGATGGATCATGAGGTTTCCTAAGCGATCTCCTGCCCAGTCCGTTCCTGATGTCCAACAGTAGTGACTCCATGAGAGACTCGCACTCAGATACAGGTGTACTGCTGACACTGCTTGTTCCTGCATTGGTAGTAGAGAAAACGTGAAGTACTTTCCAAAGAAGACAAAATACAGGCAAACAATCTGTTAATATCATTACGTCTGTATTCCAAAATCATATTTAATGGTTACTTAGGCAACTTAAAGTGGGTTTTTTTTTCTGAATGCAATAGTAGAAGGTATATCTGCTCACCGGTCTTAACCCTGGCGGCAGCCATGTCCCTCGCTCGTCTTCTCGCAGCAGCTTGTTCTTCATTAGCTCGTCGCCTTTCATTGTCACTCACAGCAGACCTGAACTTGCTGCAGAACCATACGAACAACTGTAACACAAATAAAAACATATTTTAGTCTCTTTTACCAAAATTCATGGGATCATATTTATATTTTAAGGTTAGCATCTCATCAAAATGAAATTTATCTTACCTTGAAACATTCCTCTAGTTTAAACGACACTGGGTCTTCACAGAAGAATTCAGCAAGTTGTTTTCTGATGCTTTCGACCTCTTCCATATCTTTGTCGAGAGCTGACACCTCTTGTTCAGCCACCTAGGAGAATTAGATTCATTAGAACCTTGGAAGATTTTTGAAATATTTCATGGCTATTCGAATGTCCTCAACATGATTTGGACGTTATTGCTAAACCATGGAGTTCCAAATCTATCACAAACCTTTAATCGATTTTGATTGTTATTTTTAAGTGCATATTAAATCTTTAATGAATGATCAGTAAACTGACCTGCAAGAAATCTCCCATCTGCCCCTTAATATCCTGCTGCGTGCTTGGCATCTGGATCTCTTTCTTCAAGCCTTGTATCCTGTTGGCCAGGGTCTTAATCTCGTTGTGCAGTTGTTCCACAGTAGCCTTAGCAGCTTC